GGTCCCCTGTGCTCTTCTTCCCCTTCCAATCCTGCTGAGCCTTTGCTGGTAGAGCATGTCCCTTATAGCTCCGTAGGTGTAGATGCTTGCCTCTGGTTCTGTGTGTCGTCCTGTTTTGGCTCCATAGCGATGTCTCTGAGGTCTTCGATAAAACGCTGAATCTAGGGTGGGGAAGAGAGATGGCAGAGCTCAGAGCAGGGATGGGAACAGGAGGCAGAGGGGAGCTTATTGGCTCTTTTGGAGGGCAAATTTCACCAACCAAACTGAGCAGGAGGATAAGGCATTTGCCGTGCTGGACCTTTCCCTCCAGAATGGGCTTTTGGGGGTGAGTCTGAGTTCAGGGCAAGGATGAAGGAAACCAAACCTTGGCCATGGGTCAATATGCATCCCCTGCCACAGCCTGCCTGGCTCCCGCTCCTTCTGCCCCCACAGGGACCCACACCCTGCTCTGCCTCCTTGGACGAGACGGGTTTGCCTGGTGTCCTCTGCCCATTTCCCAGGCCGAAGAGAGAGCCCAGGTGAAAAGAAAGGTGTCTGTTGGGCACCTTGATTTCTCTGGGCTCTCCCCTCCCTTTGGGCAGCTGAGAGTCATTACTCTTCCTCTTTCTGGGCAGGGAGAAGGGGTCTGGCTTGGCTCTACCATGTTCAGCTGTCTGTGGCTGTCATCCACCGGCACGTCCAGGTTTGCTTTCAGCTGCATGTTCATGCACTGGAAGATGTTGGAAATGGCCAACTTGATGGTCGCCAGCTTCAGGGTTTGCATGTCAGCTGAATTCTGGATGTCGGCCAAGCAAGCCTCCTGAGAGGAGAGGAGAGGAGAGGAGACATGCAGCATGAGGACATGCCCCAGCAAAGATGTTGCTTTAGCACTGGAGACCCTGGCTCGGAGAGCCTAACTTGCACACTTATCTGTTTTGCTAGGAAGAAGCTGTCCTTGCCCACAGCTGTGCTGGAAGTGGTTCAGCTTGGTGTGGTGGACACAGATCCAGGAACCACCACAGCTGCTCCTTGCCCTAGGAGCCTCCCCGTCTCTCTGCTAACTCCTGCAGTCCTCACTCTGGTGGGTCCTCCCTGCAGGTCCCACTTGCACTCTCCACGGCAGGGCTAGCTGATACCCTGGGAGCAACACATCCCACTGCCACCCTCCCAGAGCAGGTGCTTTCCAGCTTTACCTGATGGGACCTAACTCCTGGAGCCTGGAGTACCCAATAAAGGAATTTGGCAAGGCCCCCTTAGAGTGACGCGAAGGGAGCAGAGGCCAGCGGAGCTGAGGGCATTTCTGCACTCCGAGCACTGCCTACACATTGATGTGCCTCATTACAGCCCGGTTTACCACCAGTCGGGTCACTTTTGGACTGGTAAGGAGGGAGGAGAAGGGTGAGCCCTGGGGGGCAGATGCTGTGCAAAGGATGAAAACAAAGAATACAAAATCAGCAAAACCAACTTCACTCTGAGGCCTGAGCCATGAACAGTGGAGACTATGAGACATGCCACGCTGAAACCCCATTACCTGGATGATGCGGCAAGGAATGGTGAATGGAAATGAGTATGACCAGGCTAGACAAACCCAACAGGCACGCGGTGGAGTACGCTTGGGTTTTGTGGCAAGGCAGACCTCCCTACAGCCTGGTTAGCCGATCTCTTTTGGCTCTGAGTTCAAGCAAGAAGTGAAAGATCACAACGCTTTGTGAGGGCCTTGTTTTAACAACCTCTGATGTAACCTGCTCTGCACCTGGTCTGTCATTCTTCATTCTACAGCCCCTTGGAGGAACGAAACTAGGCATCTCTTCCATTCACAAAGGCTGCTACTGGGCCTTGCCATGGCTTAGGCATGAGCCATCAGCTCATCTTGACACAGCCAGGCTTTGGAGATCTTCCCCTGCCCGCCCCACGTTTCCTCACCCAGGGCAGGACGTCACTTTGAACCTGCTCAAGACATGGTTGGAGCTGCACCAGCTCAGTTTTGTACTGCAGCATCTCAGCTTCTTTCTCTGCGATGTACTGGTCCAGGAGCACCTTGGCTTGCTCAGACATGTCCTTCTGCGCCTGTTGTGACCGCACCTGGTTGTTGTGCGTCTTCATCAGCATCCTGTAGCGCCAAACAACTTCCTGGATCTTCTCAAACTGCAGCAAAAGGGCTTCTGGTGTTAGTAATCCCTCCCCTGCCCTTGCCCTCCCCTCATCACGATTGCAAGTCTCGTGCTGTTTGGCACCCTGTCCTGACCAGGGGCAACACCTGTCCCAACTGAAAGATCTTCCCTTCTTGATGAGACTATTGCCCCAGTTGGTTCGTGAGTGTTGCCACATTCCCCGTATGATGACATCCTGCTGCACCAGTCGCAGAGCTGTCACTGCCGTAAGCAAGGGGAGATATCGCACCTCTACCCTGGGTGAGCATTGCTCTGATAAAACACAAAGCACAGCTGCAACTGCCAGCGCCAAGTCACCTAGACACGGGAGAGGGGCAGCTGGGACAGCAGGAGTATGAGCGACGCATGGAGTGATGCCCGGGCATCCTTGAGACAGGGCACAGCTTTTTTGACAACTGCCTGCGTTCCCATTCCCAGGCAGCTTTTCACTTCTCCCAAACCATCAATGGGACATGAAAGAGTGACACAAAGGGGTCTCCATTCCCCTCAGTCCTGTGCTTTTCCCTCTTCTAACAGTTTTTCTTTGGTCTTCTCAAGCCTTCACCTCCTTTTCTGGTTCTCCTCCCCTAACTCTGGTCCCCTTGGCTCACCTTGGTTGCAGGGAATCTCTTCCCACCCCATCTGAGGTCTCTGCATTTGACCAAGTGTTATGATTTCCCTGGACCTGCCTTATCTCCTCCAGGTTTACCTCCCACCTAAGGCCCTCCTTGAGGCCATGATCTGTCTCCTTCATGTCCAAACTCACCCGTGAGATCTCCACCACGTCCTCCAGGTATTTTTTGAAGATGGAGTACTTCTGCACTTTGTTGCGGAGTTTCTGGTGCTCGTTTTTCAGGGCTTCCAGTTCTCTCTTAGCTCTCCAAAGCTCACTCTGCTTCTGCATCTTCCCCTCTCTCTCTGTGCTCACTCTCTTCAGAACTCGGACTCGGATCTTATCGTTTTCCTGGTGATATTTCCCCCACCAACACGTGCACGCACACACAGAGGGAAAGGAAGGCAAGGGAAGATGGAGCCGGGTCAGTCAACAGCACTGGAAGGAGAGACCTTCACAGAGGAGAGACCAGTACTGGAGCACCCCTGGGAGCATTTTTCACTCCCTATTTAACAGGGCCATCCCTCTTGCATTGACCCTTTGGTCTTGGAGACAGGCATCTGGGATGGCACTCTGATTTTCAGACCTCCTGGAAGACACCTGGGTGTCAAAAGGGGGAGGACAGGCTGAGACCCTTCTTGGCAGATGTTTGGGGCCCTCAGGAGATGACACTAGTACAGGACAAGCTCTCTCCCACCCAAGCGCTACCAGGGCTTTCCACATCTGTGGTACAAAACCCCATGCCCTGACAGTCCTGTTCCTCACACCTCCAGGCTCAAGGAAGGCTGGGACAGATGTGATGGCCCAAGACTGTCTACCCAACGGAGGGGAAGAGGTGGAGGTGTGGCTCAGGGTCATGTCAACCGAACTGGTCAGGGGCCGATGTACCTTTAGAAACCGCTCAGATTTCTCCATGTAGGTTTTCAGCTGAGCCCCCTTGGCCTGGAGGTCCCTCCACCGGCAACTTAGGACTTGCATCCTCTTCTTGAATTCCTAGCAGCACCACAGTGAGCGTGACATGACTATGCACACCCAGAGCCAGTCACCTGCCTGGTGTTGCCCTCCTAAAAACCCACAAGTCCTCCCAACCATACCCCAACACCCTCCCATCTTTCTTACCTCTTCTTTCACCTCCAGAGCCTCTTGTATCTGTCGGGCTTGTCTCCTTTTCTGCAGGAAGCAAATAAATGGAGACAGGGACTCCTCCTGTGTCAGTCTGAGTTTCCTGCCACAGAAGTTTTCCTCAGGGTTACACACTGGTGCCAACACCTTGGCAGGGTGTTGAGTTGCTCTGCCCCGTCACCCCACTCAGTGAGCAACCCAACACCATCTCAGATCCCATCCGGCAGTATGCCATCCCCAGCCTTCCCCAGTGGGGATCCCACTGACAGAGCAGAGGGGTGTTACAGGGAGGAACAGGGCTGGGGAAGGGAGGCACAAGAGGAGCCTGAAGTGGCAGAGATAAGGGATGGGAGTTTGCCACGGTGCAGGGAGGAGGGATGGAGGAGATGAGAGAAGAGGATGGAAGGGATGGAGGTGGGTGGAGGACCCCCCTCACCTGAGCAAGGGCAGGAAGTTCTCCCTGTAATGCATGCAGAAATAAGCCAACAGGTCCTCATTGGTCATGGTGGCCATCGCTCCAGCCACCAGAAGGGCCTAGAGGGCCCAGGTACTCCTGGCACTGCTCGTCTCCCAGGTCAGCTCAGGAGCTGCCCTGCAAGCCTGAGGGCTTGGCAGTGCATGTGAGAGGCGGCTGGGTAGGGATGAGCTCCTGGGTGCCTCTTGCCTCCGCTTTCCCAGGACCTTCCTTGCCTTGGTCATGTCTGTGGTCACCAGCTCTTGGTGGTCAGTTGGCACATAATGGTTGCCGGGGGTAGCTGGAAGATGCTCAGGTGGTTACTTGGCAACCAAAGGCGGGTGATGCCGCCACGCCAGCGAAGGGCACTGACCGCTGGGTCCAGGACCAGGACTCTTCAGCACTAAAGGAAAGCTGAACAAATGCAGATTCCTTTCCCTTCCTCTCATTTTCTTGGGTTCTTCCTCTGCTAAAAATCAACCCCTGTGTCCTGTGACCTCTGCCGTCTTGGGCAGGTATTTCAGCACCCCCGAAATCCACATCCCACTGTCTCATAGCTCAGGGCAGGAGCTTGTTCCTTCTCTCTCAAAGCACCAGATGAAAGACAGTTAAACTGAGGCACATCCTCAGGGGTGCTTGATGGCTGTACTGCCCACGAATCCCTCTCTGTGTGCGACTGAGGTCTACCGTTTGCTAAAAATTAACTGATTTTTTTAATTTATTTTATTTTTCGTAGCTTTGGGCATTTGCACACGGTCCATTTTCAAAAATAAAGGAGTGGTATTCATCGGCCAGGTGGGGGAAAACCTACAGACAGCGGCGACCTTGGGGTCTGCTCCTTCCACAGGAGATTTCACCCTCTGATGTTTGCTTCTGTCAGTCTCTGGCTTCCTTGCTGGCTTAACATACAAGAGCATTTCTGTGAGCTACTGAAGCTGAAACACCCCTGGCTTGGTGGCAAAGGCTGTGAGTCTCCGGGAGGAGAAGTCTTCATGTCTGTTACAACCCTGCCTTGCATCAGGGAAATTCTTTCCAGGCAGACATCACCCCTTGCTCATTATAAATCAGTAGGAGTTGCAGAAAGTCTGCCAGATCCGTCTGGCACTTTAAACAGCAAGATGTATGGCCCAGGAAGAGGCCATTTGTTATATGAGAGATGCTTCATTTAGAGACAAATGACCCAAGGCAAAGCAGTGAATACACCTGGCTTTTATTCCTGAGGTTCAAATCGATCCCGTCAGTGACAGGTGACTTCCCCTCTGTCCATCATGGGATCCATCCTCTGTCCAACCTGGGGCTGTTCCCATCCCAACAGCTCAGGCAGATTAAACCTGGTCTTCTGGAGCAGTTTCTGGACCTTGGCAAAGGCAAGTCTTCACTGGGAGTGAGGTGTCCTTGTCCTCTTGTGCCTGAACTGTGCTGTCTGAAATTAAAAAACCCCTACGATTTTGGGGAGAGGAGTCTGAGGCAGGTGCCGGGCACCAGGATCAGCATTTCAAGCAATTAAAGTTCATTATCCGTATGAATAATGGGAGACAGGCATTTCCAAGGGGAAGCACTCGCTGACTTCCCTGTCTGACTAAGAATTCCCCATTATACAACATTTTGTCACACAGACGACCTCCAGGGAGCAAGTGATGTCATCAGTTACCTTCCTACTTGTTAGGCATGTATAACACCGAGGGGCTGCCGCTGTCCCTTTGGCTTCACAGGATTTCATTGTCCCTAAGGAGGTGCTGCCTTTCCACAGCAAGGATAGAAAGCACAATCCATACTAAAGTCCCTGGGGTTTTGCCTGCCCCCACAGATAGCTGTGGGATTCTCACTTTCCACGCTGAATGCGCAGAGCAAAGCTACTGCTGCCTGCAGGCTTATGAATAAAGGAGAAGTCACCACCGGGTTTTATTCTTACCGAGCAGTAGAAGTTGCAGCTGGGTCCAAGGAGGGTCAATCAAATGGTGGGGGACTCAGGGGGAGTTTGGGGATCTCCTAATACTCTTAGGCCCAGGGGAAGCCCCTTCCTTTGCCTCCTTTTCGCCATGGGAGCTGCAGCGCCCACTGACTTAGCACAGCAGAAAGCCAAGCTCAAATCACTTGTGTTAATCTCAGCCTTTCTTGTGTGGCAACCCACAGACCAGCCATCACCAACTTTATCTCATGGATTCTCTCTGCTCCTGCCTCCACCTTGCTGGTTTTGGCAGACAGAAGAGCTGCTTGGATTCGAGATCTTTGTGGGCCCCATCTGTACAGCACCTTGTGACATTCGCTCCTTGTCATCACCACAATGCTGTAATGACTAGCATAAAACATGTGCGCTGTGGCAAACAGGTCTGATGCCATTGTCTGAGTCCCCAAAACTTTATTCAGAGGGGTCATCTTCTGTGTGAGACAGTGAGCTGGCTGAGGACAGGACTGTCGAGTCGAGAAGATGTGGTGTGAGATGCCCTGTTGTTACCAGGGTACCAGTGATGTCTGCCAGGGTGCTGGGAAGGTGCTATGGAGAGCAGCTCCCATGGACTCACCTAGCACATGGGACAACCCCAGGAGAAGCCTGGACAGGGTGGCCTGGTCTGTCTGGGTATGTTACTGAGAATCTCTGGTCTGCCGTTGTTTTCTGAGTTCCTCCATGTTTGCTCTGATGAAGTTTGTACATGCTCATGGCTTTCTGTGGTTGTCTCCAGCATGGCTGGGCCAGGGTACCACTCAGGGGTCCTCCCTGCCAGTGTTTCTCCAGGTTCTTTCATGTTTGCAAGGACAATCCTGTCCACATATTACCCAACAGCCGTCTCCAGTGCATCCAGGCTCTGATGGAGCCCTTTGTGCTTCCATCGCCTGGCTGCAGCTCTGCCCAGAACAGCTATCTGCTATGGAGAGGACACTTGGGTCCAGCATCTGTATCAGAAAGAGTAGTAAGGAATGAAAAGCGGGACTAGCTCCAAACAGCCACTATCCTGGGGACATAGGGACAACCTAAGCTAGGAAAGGTGATTTCAGCCCTCGTGGCTGGAAGGGGAGGAGGAGAAAGCAGTGCTTGTAGGAGGAAGGTTCGGGATAGAGGGAGAAGAAATGCTGTGATGGCTGGAGAGGGAAAGACATGGGTGACCAAGTGGGATTGAAAATACACATTGTGAGTATCTTCCCCTGAATGTGAAAAGGCTGCTGGCTGACCTAACACAAAGAGACCTGAATCTTAAGTACCCGGTGACAGGCAGGTACCTGCCATGCAGCACCATGGTGCTCTGGGCATTTGCACTGACTCGTCCTCGGTCTTGTAGCACTCTCATCCCCACAGGATGGGTGAGCCCAGCCCATGAATCACCCAAAGCCACATGTGCTCCTGGCTCTTGCCTGCTCCAAAACCTACAGACCCCATCAGCAGACCTGCTTCCCGGAGTGCTGGACCCTCCTGGGCTGGTGTCTGGTAGATGGGAAACCTTGAGATGGGATCTGTCCTCTGCCCACCTGGAGGAAAGCCCAGCAGGATGAGATCAGACACCACACCTCACAGCTCTGGTGAAAGTGCTTGCAGATAGCCTTTTTTTTTTTTTTTTCTGATGTTCCTAATCACCGTTTGCCACTTTTATCCTCACATCAAGGTTTTATCTTCAACAAATGCTTTCCTCCTCAATACACTATGCATTAAAAAAGAGTTTCTTCCTATTATGCTCTCCATAGCAACTGCATCATCTTACCATGAATAAATTACCTCTGACTTGACATCCCTTATTAGAACACAGAAAATGCCATTTCTGAGTCATAGCTACCCAGGAGAAACCTTTTCTGTTCATCCCTTAGGTACATCCCCCACCTTTTTACTCTTTGAAGGAAACTGCTTTATTTTTTCTTTTCTTTTAAATCTCTGCTCTTGAAGCCCCTGGAGTTGAAGACTGATGGAAAGCTGACACAGACTTTCCCTTCTCGCCCTCAGAAACTCCCAGCAGTACAAAACGCCCTTGGTGACAGCCAGTTCCTCTAAATCACATTGGGCTCTGGGTTGGCATGATTTTGAATGGCCAAATCTCTTCCCAGCATCTTCTCCCAGTTCTTAGGTCCCCAAGGGACAGGTTTAAGGGAGAAGATGAGCTTCTATCCAGGGAGAGCATGATGCAGACAGCATGGGGACGTTCAAACATGGCATCTTCATTGAGTGCCCAGGGATTTTGGAGTTGAGGAGCTGTTCCCGTGTGGAACTGGGACCGTCTGGAGCGGAGGGAAGGTTCCTGCCTCTCTCCAGGAGTCTGTCCAGCTTGAGATACCTCCCAATTTGCCAAAGCACTTGACTTTTCTCTGCGACAGTGTGACCACAGCCCAGGAGAGGGAGCGCTTATTAAACAAGTGTGAGCTCCCAGATGCAGTCCTAGTCCTGCCCTGTTTCCTTGCCCTGGGATAACTCCAGGCAGCCTTTCTGGTAGTGGGCAAGGGTCTGGCCTTTCCGCACAACATACCCTTCCTCTGCCCTGTTCCCATCCCAACCTGCCCCTTCCATGGGAATGCAGTTGACGCTGATGGCAATGCAGGATAAATGTGCTGATGTGTAAGGAAGAAGGGATGGGGGAAGCCTGAGTCACTGCTGGGTGCCTCTCCCCGGACACCACTGTGCTCCCCTGCTGCCTTCTCTCCGAGTCATCCGGCACAGCAGGATTTCAGCTTAAGCCCCAGAAAGCCAAGGCCGTCAGAAATGCCCATCTCCTCTGAGAACCTCAGCACCTCTTGGGCAAGCTGGACTCTGCTCTGAGGAGCACATGTTTTCCATCTCCCAGGGCTCCCTGACATGGATTTGTCCCAACATCTGTACCTGCATCCCAATCCAAAGGGCACCTCAGGGTGCACCGCTCATATTGTGGCTTGGGGGAGGAGGAGGCTCAGGCTTGGGGGCTGATGCAAGAAGCAGCAGGAGAAGGAGCTAAGAAGTGGTTTCCAAACTCCAGACTCTCTGTCTATTTGCAAACTAGCACCCTCTTAAATTCACTTTATCATTTCCAGGCACCTAAGAGACAGCACAGGCTACTGGGAAAGCACAGGGCAGCTTTGCTCGTCCACCCGACAGCCGTGCGGCCAC